GCATGGATAAATTAGAAACTTTATTCAAATTATTTCAAGAACAACAAAATATGATTTTGGATGTCCTAATAGAACTCAATATCGTCGATGAATTTTCCGTTGATTCAAACGTAACAATCTCCACAGAAGAGTTGTACTACAATACTTATTCTATAGCCAATAAATTACTTAGTGTTAAACCAATGAATAGTTCTGTGTTAAACGCCCCGCATATATCGACTTCCACGTCTTTTGTTTTAGCATTACCTAAAATCGATTTGCCTAAATATGATGGTAACTTAATTCAATGGAAACCTTTCCGTGATAAGTTTGTATCCTTAATACGCCGAAATGACAATCTAAGTAAAATTGACCGATTTCATTACCTATTATCTTGTTTATCTGATCTGGCATTGTCTTGTATCAGTTCATTACCTCTCACCAATAGTAATTATGATATTGCCTGGAAGACATTAATGAATCGTTACTACATCCAACGTTTATTGACTTCAGCCCACTTGGATTTTCATTTCGCCCAATGGTTGCAGAATCATTGCCGTCTCTTCTGAACTTCATTAATATTTTCTAATAAAATGTTGCCGCGATTACTGCGCTTGGTGTAGACAATCTGTCTGACTTTATGTTATTTTATATTGGGTCGTGGTTATTGAACCCGATTACTCGACAATTGTTCGAAGCCAGTGTTTTGCAGGAAACTATTCCTACTTTTGATTCTTTGCTTACGTTCGTTCATCACCGTTGTAGAATCCTGGAGAATACAAAAGGTCCAGACAATGATCGAACCGAAAAAAAACACACACGACTCAAGGATTATAAGACAACCAGGTCATCTCTTACTACTACATCAACTAGCAAAAAGGGGTCCAATCCAAAATGTCCATGTTGTATAGGAGAACATTTTGTGTATCGTTGTCAAGTTTTCAAGGATCTTTCAATACAAAGACGACGGGATACGGCGTTGTCAACAAAATTGTGTTTTTCATGTTTAAGTCCTTCACACACGGCAAAAGCATGTAAATCTAAATAGTCATGTTCAGTGTATAAAAAACGACACCATTCTTTAATTCATCAAGATTCCATCTCGTCATGTGTTGTATAAGAAAACGATCCTATTCAAAGCACTTCACAAGATAACATTACTAAGTTCTCTGGGTTGTCCTGCGCCACTTCCACGGTCGTGTTGGGAACCGCCATAGTTCCTATGCGTGACTGCCGTGGTGATTATCAAACCGTTCGTGTATTATTGGATAGTAGATCACAAGTATCAGCCATGACCATGCGATGTGTATCAAAGCTAGGCCTTCCCAGACGCTGATGTCAAATAGGCATAGTTGGTTTATCAAAAAAATCAATAGATAACGTAAAAGGGATTACCAGTTATCACTTTGTACCATGGCAACAACATGAACCTTCGTTCTGTAGTTCTGACATCATTATTTTACCTCAGATTACCACTAACATGCCTTCTGTGCCATTACCACCTTGTGTTCGTCAGTTTTACGGTCATCTATCATTAGCTGACCCTTCATTTGATGTTCTCTCGTCATTAGATATGCTCATTGGTGGAGATTGGCTTCCTCACATAATGAAGCACCGAGCCGACATTTTACAATTTCAAGGTTTGCCGTCAGCGGTGGATTCTTTCTTGGGATGGGTTGTTTTCGGACTCCTTGATGAACAGAATGCGTTTTATGCTCACTCGTTGTCAGTAACGTCATCTTCCTTAAATGACATGATTCAATCTTTCTGATCAGTTGAAGAAATTACGCAACCAAAAAGTCCCACCACTGAAGACCACCAATGTGAGAAAAGGTTCTCAGAAACGACAACGCGTGATGAACATGGCAGGTTCTGTGTTGCACTTCCATTTACAGATACGGTATTGTCTTTGCAAAACCATTCGAAATTCAAAAAGAATCAAGCCCAATTCCCCTCCAGTATGTTTTTGCAAAATCATGGCCTAGGTGAGTCTTGCTCACTTGCGCAAAAACGCTTATTCAATCTTGAAAGCCGTTTAAATAAAGATCCAGCATTATACGCCGAATATCAACAATTTATGAAGGAATACTTGGCTCTGGGTCATATGAAAAGAGTGACTCAGGCTGGAAAATATTTCATCCCGCACCATGCTGTCGTGAAACGTGACGGTAAAAAGATCGAAAAGTTGCGTGTTGTGTTCGATGCATCTGCTGCTACATCGTCGGGTTTATCGCTAAATAACGTCCTTATAGCTGGCCCTAAGTTACAGATTGATATTTTTGATATTTTTGTAAGGAGTAGGTTAAAACGTTATTTGTTGACCGCAGACATAACCAAAATGTATCGACAAATTTTGTTAAAACCCAACGATTGTGCGTACCAACATATATTATGGCGTGAATCTCCTGAGGAAGAAGTGATTGAATATGAACTTCGTACTGTCACTTATGGCGTTACTTCTGCTCTATATTTGGCTATTCAATGTTTGCATGAATTAGATGCTCAGGCTGGTTCAAAATTCCCAGCCGTGAAAAATATTCTCAATCGCCAAACGTACGTTGATGACATCGTGGTAGGAGCAGATACAGAAGTGGAGTTATCTATCATTCAACGAGACATCATCGGCTTATTGAATTCTTGTGGATGCACCTTAAAAAAGTGGACAAGCAACTGCCCGGTTATCTTAGAGAATATCGACACTAAAGATCACGCAAAATTATTATCATTGGATCCCAAAGGTGAGGCCTCTGTGAAGGTTTTAGGCCTTCATTGGGACCCATCATCAGATCATTTTGCTTACCACACAAGTCTTCGCGCGGGTCAATATACCAAACGAAAAGTGCTCTCAACTATCGCTAGACTATTTGATCCAATTGGTTTCTTAGGACCCACACTGTTATGGGCCAAGATTTTTATGCAAGAATTATGGAAACTGGGTCTGCATTGGGACACTCCACTTCCAACACATCTTCACTGTAGTTGGGACCAATTTGTAAGAGAACTACCAGAACTCGATTCAATTATTCTTCCTCGACATATTGATATCCGATCCCATACGGAAATTCAACTAATAGGATTCTCTGATGCATCATCAAATGGTTATGCTGCTAATGTATACTTACGAGTAATCAGCACTTCAAATTCTATCAACATTTATTTTGTTACTTGCAAGACAAAGGTCACACCATTAAAGGCTGCTGACCCACACGCATCACTATCCATACCACGACTGGAACTTTGTGGAGCATTATTATTAGCTCAAACCTTAAATCAAGTCAAAACTTTACTTATGTCTGAAATTTCCATTTCACGAGTACTTGCTTGGACTGATTCTACAGTTGTCTTATCGTGGTTGACTGCTCCTCAAAAAACTTTTAAAATTTTTGTAACAAATCGAATTGCAAAAATACACTTTCTCCTTCCAGATTGTGAGTGGGCCTACGTAAATACAAAGGAAAATCCAGCCGATCCTGCATCTCGAGGTCTTCTTCCTGCTGCAACAGTTGCCTGTAAAAGACACAGAGAAGGACCGGACTTTCTTCGTTTTTCATATGCTCAATGGCCCAAATATAATTTCATTCCAATTACACCTGAGAAATTGCCCGAATTTCAGCCTCCATCTGTTTTCATAAGTACCATAACTAGCACCGAACCACAAGATGACATTTTACAACGTTTCTCGTCCTTTATTCGTATGCAACGGACATTAGCGTACATTCGACGTCTTGCTATCAAGGCCCATCGTCAACCAATGCCAGATGGTCCCTTGAAACAAGAGGAGTTACATCATATTCTCATTCACGCAGTTTTGATTACTCAAGCCAGATACTTCCCGGAACTCAAAGGTCAATTAATAAAAACAGATGGTATATTAAAGCCAGCCACCATAGCTCAATTAGCCCCATTTATCGACCCACTTGGAGTGATTCGGGTGGGTGGTCGACTTCGTTATGCTTCTTTGGATTCGGATGCCAAACAACCTATCTTGTTACCGAAAAGATCTCACTTGACTCAATTGATCATTCGACATTTCCACCAAGGATTCTTACATACCGGTCTTAAACTTGTCCTATCAATGATCAGAAGACAGTTTTGGATTCTGTCCAGTAGAGATGCGGTTCGCCAATTTATCTTTTCTTGTGTAACTTGTATTCGTTTTAAGACATGTCGTCCACACCCAATCATGGGAAATTTGCCATCATCGCGCGTCCAACAAAACAGGCCTTTTTCGCAGGTCGGTATGGACTATGGTGGTCCGTTTTTAGTCAAGGAGAGTCGCCGCCGTAATCCACGCACAAATAAAATGTATTTAGCTCTATTTATATGTATGTCGGTTAAAGCAGTTCATTTGGAAATTGTGTCGGACATGTCATCCACTGCATTTTTAGCTGCATTCAATCGATTTGTAGCTCGTCGTGGTATACCGTCCAATATATACACAACAACTAAAGGCGTTATTTCAGGATAATCAAACTCAGACGAATGTTTCTACACATATACCTTGTCAATGGCATTTCACTCCTCCTGCAACTCCACACTTTGGTGGGCTTTGGGAGGTGGCTATAAAGAGTGTGAAACATCATATGAAGCATGCGATTGGAAAACAAATCCTAACACACGAAGAATTGTTAACATTAGTGACTCGCATAGAAGGAATTTTGAACTCCAGACCTCTAACCCCACTCTCATCTGACCCTAATGATATATTTGCTTTGACCCCCGGCCATTTTCTAATAGGTCAACCTATCATAGCTGTGCCCGATCCTGATGTTATTTCATGTCCAATGAATCGTCTCGACCGCTGGGAGCTACTCCATCAATGCCATCAAACGTTTTGGAAACGATGGACTCGGGAATATCTTACCACCCTCCAAGGGCGTCTCAAATGATACCAACCCACACCAAATTTATCCGAAGGAAACCTAGTCATCGTGGAAGCTTCAAATCGCCCACCTACGGACTGGCAATTAGGTCGTATCATTGCAGTCCACCCCGGTAAAGATTCAATTGTACGTGCAGCAACCATTCAAACTCGAGATGGTGTACTTATACGTCCAGTCGTCAAATTAGTGAAACTACCAGTATCCGACTCATCCATCCCTTGATCAATCATTTATTCCTAAATTTTCTTTCTTTCTTTTTTTTTTTGCACTTTATGTTATCTTAGTTTTAAGCATTCAGGTGATTTTTTGTCAAGATGAGCTGATCTAATTTTTTTGAAAGTCTACGTCTTTCAACGCTGGGAGAATGTTCGGTCCTGTAACATATCAACAATAAGGCGCAGTTGGTAACACTTCCGCGTGTCCTGGCTTGGACGAGTTGGTAACGCGTATGGTGATCATATATGTTTTCTCCTTTTCGTCGCCAGGACAGGAGTGTAAAACGCGCTCTGAACTGCGTATTATTATTCACTTTTTCGTATGTCTTTGTGTTTTGTGGTTGTATTCCGGTTGTACGTGCACCTTCGTCGCCATTTTTCTATCGCCTTCGGTTTTGAACATGTGACACGTGCGCCTTCGTCGCCATTAATTAAGTGCACCTTCATCGTTCTTTGGGATATAATACGACGCCTTTGTCGTCGTATACGTGATACGTGCACTTTCGTCGCCGTTAGTTAATTACGCCTTCGTCGCTTTTTGGGTTATAATACGACGCCTTCGTCATCGTAAACGTGATACGTACGCCTTCGTCGTCGTTCAATAAGTGAGCCTTTGACGCCATTTTAATAAGTGCGCCTTCGCCGTATTTGTTGAAATTATATGATGTCCATCATCATTATACTTATATGAAACTGAATTTAGTGTGGACGTGGATAATTTCGGTTACCTGTCATCGTGGCACCGTTTGGAGACAGGTCAACCTTTTAATTATTTTTATGAAAACAAAATATATTTGTTCTGTACGTCCATTGGGGACATTTATTTTATATATATATTTTATTATACGTTGCTCCCCCCCCCTCTTTTTGCCTTTAGTTCGTAAGCTTATTCAATGTTTATTTAATTTAATCTAAAAAGACTTTGTATTTTGATAAACCAATTGCTGATCATTTTTATTATATCTCTCCTCCTTCATCCTTTGATTTTCCATTTATACGTGTGGCAGTCCACCGGATTCTGCCGTTGCGATAAGCTCTCGTAACATACACCTGCGAGAATTTCGCGCGTATATTTTGGTCCTTCGAGCCGGATATTTGCCGAGATAATATATTTGAAAAATGGGTAAACCCAAGACAGATACATCTAAAAAGAAGTTAACGCACGCGCGTGCTGTGCGTGATCAAACTGACAAGTCTATCCATAGCATACATTCGATGGCTGTCAAATTCAATAATAATGGTGCGTTGATTGAAGATTTGGCAGTTTGCATGGATAAATTAGAAACTTTATTCAAATTATTTCAAGAACAACAAAATATGATTTTGGATGTCCTAATAGAACTCAATATCGTCGATGAATTTTCCGTTGATTCAAACGTAACAATCTCCACAGAAGAGTTGTACTACAATACTTATTCTATAGCCAATAAATTACTTAGTGTTAAACCAATGAATAGTTCTGTGTTAAACGCCCCGCATATATCGACTTCCACGTCTTTTGTTTTAGCATTACCTAAAATCGATTTGCCTAAATATGATGGTAACTTAATTCAATGGAAACCTTTCCGTGATAAGTTTGTATCCTTAATACGCCGAAATGACAATCTAAGTAAAATTGACCGATTTCATTACCTATTATCTTGTTTATCTGATCTGGCATTGTCTTGTATCAGTTCATTACCTCTCACCAATAGTAATTATGATATTGCCTGGAAGACATTAATGAATCGTTACTACA